CCCCAAAACCCCAAAACCCCAAAACCCCAAAACCCCGGGTGGTGAAGATAGGATTGGTTATTTTAGATGTGGTAAAGATGGGGGTTAGGAAATGTAGGAGCGATATTGGTCGATGTCAGACCCTTTTTGGAGGGATTTCTTGAGGAAGGACCTAGCTTTCTTTGCGATCATTACCCATTCTCCTTTGGAAGATTTGAAATGAGTCTCAAGGATTAGGACGGCTAAGATTGTTGTCCAGATTTCATCTATCATTGAGTCATTTTTGACCAAGCTTTCAAGATCTTCTGGAGGACTGTTAGCGAGGAGGTGGGAATACTCTGAGGACAAGTCAGTGAAGTGGCCGTCTGGGTCCTGGAACTGAATAAGCTTCTCATATCCTTCCAACTATATCATTATTAGAACTTGCTTTAGCATGATATTTGATTTATGAGAACATTTGTGAAATATACTTACATTCTTAGCAGGAGTGTATGCCATAAGTTCATTATTTTTAGACTTTTTGCTTTTCTGTTTACTACTTCTGAATTCTTTGTTCATTTCTTTTCTTAAAAAATTGGAATCAGAGCTTTTCAATCATTTTTCCATAACATCATTATCAGATCCAGAAGAATCTGAAGAATCTATACTAACTTTCTTTGATGCTTTAGGAGCAGCACACATTTTAACTCAATTCATTTCTATTTTACATCTCTTTCTAGCCATACGTTTGGCCTTCGATCTTGGAGCACCTTTTGACATCATTCATTTCTCCTCTCCTGAGCCTGCTCCGAACATGCCTCCAATAGCTGATCCAATCTTGTTAAAGAAGCCTGGAGAACTCCTATTTGATAGAGTCATGGGAGCTCCTACGGATCTCAAAGCTCCGTAGCCTCGGTAGAAATTATTCTGTTCCATCTTCTTGATGGGGATTTCAATGGTCTTGAGCTCTTCTCCTGACTTCGCCTTGTTCTTAATCTTCCCGAAGAACGCAGTATGTTCAGACAAAACAGAGTACTTTAGAGATAGAGCAGTTACTTCCTTCTGTATTGATGAGTTATCTATAAATATTATTAGCAAATATATCCAAGAAATACAAAAATTTAAACAGAATGTAAACTTACCTGCTTCGTATACCTTCTGAGTCTTTAACCTTTCATAGTGAGCCATGTTATCTCTAGCTGCCAGCTTGAAACCAACATCATTATTTCCGTTATCGATGATTTCATCTGGATTTACATCAAAAATAATTTCTTCAGTTTCTTGATCAAAGGTATTGAAGAATGACAAAGTGACTTCTTCATGAGCAAGTTCGGCCTTGTTTAGCACAGCATACACATCCAAGATTTCTATACCAACATTAGACACGATTCCTCCAATATGGCTCATGGTTAAGAGCCCTAACAGTTGTGGACGGCAATATACTTACCTTCTTCGTAAATGAACCCGAAAATTGGTTCTCTGGGAACTTCGAACTTGACAGCCTCTGAGTTACGGCCCCAATTCATCTGGATGTTGGTGAGAGCTGGTCTGGCTGCTTGGTTCAAAGCTGCAATGACTTTGGCTTTAGTATTTGGATCGTTGTCTTCGATGAGAGTGCTGGTTCCAAGGCCAGCTTTAGCGAGTTCATTGACAAGATACTTGGAAGCTTCTCCACCAATTCCAAAAGAGTGAACTCTTCCAAAGTTATTGTGAGATCTGACTTTCTTCATGACTTGCTCAGTGTCAAAGATTTTACCATCAGTTAGTACAAAGATGCTTCTGGGGTACTTATAATCAGTTGCCATATCGTAGATTTCATCCAGAGGCTCGCTTAGGTTTGTTCCTCCAAGATCTGCTCTCATCATTTCAATCTTTGCCAAAGCATCATCAATATTTTGTTTCGAGTATGGTACACTCTCAGGATACATGATATCCAACCTTGTACCGAACCCAACAATGTTGAACTTGGAGACTGATGGCAGACTTTGAATGAACAGCTTCAGAGCATCCTTTGCAATCTCAATTCTTTCACCTCCCATCGATCCACTTCTGTCAACAACAAAGATGAACTCTCCGCTTGCAATGTCAAATTCATCTTCTCCAGAGGTCTTAGCAGCTTCATGATCTTCAGATGGGACTTCTTCTTCAGCAACTTCTTCTTCGTCAGAGATCCTTGGGATGCAAGTGATGTGAGCAAGCACTTCATCAGGGTGTTTGTCTGAAGTCTGCAAAGTAATCTGAGGCTTTCTGATTTCAGGTGTCGAGAAAGATACGACTATGTCTTTAGAACTTATTGATGAACTTTCTTCCAATGCGATGGTGACTCTGTTTCCAGAATCATCTTGCTTGTGTACCATCTCTGAGTGAGAAACACTCAAGTCTGATATTGTACTTGAGGCTTCAACCACGATGTTGGCTGAGAATTCTCCTGGGATGTTTCTCTTCATGTTGTTTTTACCAGAGCTTGATGTGATAATACCAGGAATAAAATTCATTGGAAAGATAAATGAATAAAAGCCATGCTTGGTGATGTCGCATTTCACAGCCATCTCTACACAAATCTCAACAGTTTTCTTTGGCTGGATTGCTCCAATAGCGAGTTGTAACACCTCTGGGATGTTCTCATCATAGTTGATCTTGGTAGCAGTGTTGCCTTGAGCAACAGCATCATCATATTTTTCTTTGGCTTCTTCTTTTTCCATGATAACAGCATCAATTTGTTTATCATCAAGCTTGATTTTGACTCCTGTGACGCTGAAGAATTTGTCAATCGGGAACTTATAGATAACTTCAATTGGAGATTTCTGATCGTTCTCAAACGTCTGGGTGTAGTCGATGTTTGCAGTCGAGTTGAAAACTCTTGTATCGAGGTGAGACTTCTTTAATGGAACTTCTTTATTTTCATTCGTTGTGTCATAAAGTCCGCCAACATTATTGATGTACCAGTTAGGCTTTCTAGGTTTTCTTCATCTACAACAAGATCTTCCACTGAAGATCTTCTGGTAATTAGCTACAGGAAGGTTATCGCCAGACACAGAGAGAGTCTCTGCCTCGACCTCCTTTCTTGTTGATAATTTCTTTGGTTTTTGGACTTCTTCAGATTTACATCAAAACATCTGTATTTACTTAATTAATGATTAAAATTTTTGGCTTATATAGTCGCCTAAAAATTTCATTCTGGTCGAAAAGTTGGTTGATCTTTGAGCAATTTCCGAGGAATGACAAAGGCACTACTGAGGAAAGGGAGAAAGTCTTTTTGGTTTATATCTTAGTATTTTTCATAATCTTAACAAATATCTCCCCTTTCAAAAAAGCTGTTTATTAATTTTGAGATCTATGAAGTTTCTCTTACAGAACATATTTTACTATAGGTAGCAATGTAAGCTAATCTCACTTGCAGATTTTCATGCAACCACCATGCAACCACCATGACATATGGAAGAGATATGGGAATATCAGAGTTTTAATAGAACATCACAATGATGTATTATTTAATTGTCAGATACCTTTTCAGCCCTCGGATACTTCTCAGGGGTTTTGGGGTTTTGGGGTTTTGGGGTTTTGGGGTTTTGGGGTTTTGGGG